TATATATATATATATATATATATATATATATATATATATATATATACAGGGTATCCCGCACCAACCGCCCACTATTGACCAATATATCCATACGATCTTGGCGAATAACCATAGATGATTTTAAAATTTAAAATCAAATCATCTTTTTCCCCCTCAGAACCTTATAAATTTTGTCTGAAGCATTTTTATCTGAGATCGAGATTAGTTTTTAAGATATTCAGCTAGCCTGTTTAAAATGCAATATATGTTTACCCTGTATATTATGTATGTATATATGTATATATATTTTTTATTTATTTTTTACTTATTTATTCATGCAATTACTTAGCGCGGAAATATGGCAGAATTGAGACGCAAAACTCACCTGAAGGGATCCTTTGGGGCAATATTCTGTCAGTAGGCAGCAATGTGGCGGCTCCAGGCAAGCACCGTAAAATCGTACTAAATGATCGTGCTGAAGGTCCTTCATCTGCGAAAGTCATCAACATCACCGCTCACATGATTTATAAGATGTTACATGCAACACCGGTCGTTAGGGAACAAACTACGCGGACAGACGCGATCTGTCTCTGTTGTCGTGAGAGATATCGTCGCGAAGCGCGTCTTTCTTCCTTTTCAACAAGTTTAACTCGCATCGGTGAGTTAAGCGCGAGTGAACTTCGAAAATTGACGTACGATTCAATGAGATGAAAATGAAACGCGTCGTTTGTCAAGTCAGCCACTCACCCGCTTTAATTCCAGCAACAGAGGTCTCGAGATCTCCACCTTGTTCCGCGGTATCTCTTTTATCGCCACTTTCGAGTTCTGAAACGAATCGCTTACAGCTTATCGTCCGTATTTTTGGATCGCGTCGGGTAATACACGTCGCGCGGGTAAATCACTCGGAAAATGATCTATCGCGTTCGCGATACATGTGCACAAGTGTGTCGTATTGTGGCTTCGTCTCGCTTAAGTTCGAAATTTAGCCCCCGCTCTGCCAAACGTAATTGATAACGCGACGCACGTGCGTCGAGATTGAAACAGTCGTACAAAAATAATAAAGTAGAAAAAAACGTAGTCTGACCTTGTATAATCCCGTCGGTACATAGACGTTCCTGTCAACACCATCCGGCATGCTCATGTTATCCTCCGAATATATAGTCTGCAACAGAAACAACTCAGATAGAAAATTCAAAACAGAGAATTCCACAAGAATTCAGTCGTATGTCACCAATCCTGAGTTCATTTTCAGACGCAAAAAGAATTCTATTCACTGAACTGAACTCTGAAGAATTCTTTTTGCATCTGAAAATGAACTTAGAATTGGTGACATACAACTGAATTCTTTTTTAATTCTTTTTGAATTCTTTGTGCTATCTGAGAATCCTTTTTTAAATAATCGTTCACTTAGCAAACGCGTCGGGAGAGTTAGCGCAGTGTTACGCAAAAACCTTTAGAAAAATATTTTAGAAAGCAATCTTCTGACCAGTTTGACCTATGTTTGATCAAATTTCTTTGTTTAATCAAATATCTTAAGGAGAAATAGGACACTTTAATAATGAAATCTTTAACTAAAGGCACAGAGACTCCCATTGTTTGATCGTACCGCTGAAACTTTGTTCGTGAGAAACTCTTCAATTGCAGTCACTTACAACTCGGAAATTATCGATCAACATTTTAATTAAACGAAGTCTGACTACAATTTAGTTAAAGATTTTGTCGCTCAATTTCAGAGATAAGACCAAATACAATAGATACAAAGTAGAAGCTACCAATGAAATTTAGACAAATCTCTCAAACAGAGCTGAAATAAATATTTTAGAAAATCAAACATGAAAGTTCATTCCATAATAAACAATTTATCCCATTATTTTTATGTCCTAATTACGTAAAGTAACCGTTTATGTAGACAGAATAACTTATAATGAAATCAATATTAATTAAAAAAAAAAACCAGATTTGCTGTTTATTCGTATTTAAAAAGTCTTAACTCATATTAGACATATTATTTAAAGTGAAAAGATCCTCTGACCAGCTGTTAAAGGGATTCTGGAGTCGATAACGAACTCGAACAATGTCGATAATGCAGAGACGATCGTCACTAACATAATTCTTTTCTATCCTTTTCGTATTTTTTGTATATACAAAACTTATATGAATGTGTTGCTTTGGTTTATCATATTCAACGGAAAACCTAACCGTATATATGTAGAAATCTTTTTGCAAAACTGTTTCGATATTCTTAAGCTTCCAAAGGCAAATGCGAAGGCAGCGCGATGTTCTTCAAAATTTTTCTGTTTGGAACATCCACACTTTCGGTATGTACAGCTGCGGACTTTTGGATTAAGCAAATATTACGCTAACTGATAGCTTGAGACTTTACATTAAAAATTTTTTGTTCATTTTCGTCACATATCGAGCAATGCTTCTATTTATTTTCGCACGTACTTTCATTGTATAAAAGCATTTGTAATTCTGTGTAACCAACACAACGTAAACTTTGTAGAAAAATGTTCTGTCGGTAAAGTTTTCAGCTTCAGCATCCCCTTAAGTCCTTGAAATAATCAGAGTCGAAATAAAAAACTGACTAACAAACTGCCTTGTACCATCTAACGGTGTCGTATAAAGCGTCATTAAACGCGTGGTTTGAGTCTTGGCTAAATAGGATTTGAATTCCTGGAGTCTATCATAATTATTTACCTTTTGTATAAACTTGTGAAAAGTGAAAATCTTGAAACGCTTTCAAGTTAGAAAATACTTTACTTTTTACGAGTTTACGTTACAAAGTTAGACCCGTTACATTTAGACCCTCTATTTGCGGCTTTCATAGTTCCAAACTCTCCGCTACGAGTCGCCACTATCTTCAATGAGGAGTCGTAGCACGCCTCAATAGGATCAGACATACTTTTTATTTTGCAGTAGCACGAGTTTCCCTTTCTCTCTCTTTTCATAAGTATTATTAATAACTTGTTACATTAGTGCGGAAACAGATAAAAAACTAGTTAATTATTTTTAATATTTTGAAAATATGACTGTTTACATTCTGAAGTGTCGTTGGGAAAAATGCTCGAATAAAAATTCGACAGTTGCTTTTGTTTTCTTATCTATCGTGATCTGTCGCAACAAATGCTCTAAATCCGATGGATTATACTTCGAAATTCCAGACGATCGAGTCTGGAATTTTTGCGGCACGATATAATGTGACATCGCGCGAAAGGTCTTACGCAACGGCTGCAGAGAGAAATGGGATATTTCTTATCTATTTACCAGTTGGCTACCGCGAAACTTATGCGCGATCAGCGAGTACATGGAGCCCCTTGTTTTCACGTTCGACAATACCATCACGTCGTCCCAATGCACTTTCCACGTCATAGAGGCAATTTCCGCTTCCAATCTGAAGCGCCTGCGAAAGCAAACGGCGTGCATTATCATCCTTTAGAACTGTCGCGAAAACGGTAGAGCGTCGCGAAATTTGCGCAATATTTCCCAGCCGCGTGATAAACCACGCGCTTAAGCGTACGTACTGCGAATTAATTCCAAACGTCGGCATTATCTCTGCCTCTCGACAAAGGATATCGCGTTCTCTCTCTCTCATTTTTTTTCTCCCGCTGATTAACGAGATATTTTTATCAATGGCAATTATCATGTCGCATATACGTCGAGGAAATATTTTCGTGACGCACCTAGCTTTATCCATAAAGATGCAATTAATCAGGTCAATATATTTATATACTACGCGACAGTCCCGTGCGGCACGTCCCAGCGATATCTACGAAGACACAAATCTGTAGGAGAGAAATACTTACACGAAGCGCGCGCAAATTTGCAGGTCGCGCTAGTTTATCTGTGTGTGTACCTGTCTGTCTGTCTGTCCGTGTTATACGTGCGTAGAACGACACGAGAGATAATTACGTGCCGGCGTATCTCATAACTACATGCCTATCTGTCCCCTGCGAAATGTTGCTTCGCGTATAAAGGTCCTCCGTGTCGCTGTGGGGATTCGGAAATTCTCTAACTAAATTCAACGAATATATATATACTCGTATACAGGTGTGCTCGTCGAAAGTTGCCGGCAACCGTGCGCGCAGAATTGCGAATATATAGCAAGGCGAAACGAGAAAAGCGCGATCGTCCCTCACAGTTATCAGGAATCGACGCGGATGTATGACTTTCAACGAAACGTTCGATGCAGCATGTGTATTGTGGAAACATATATCTTACGCATATTTTCTGCGAAAAGAGAATAAAAGCGGATCGTTAAAGCGCGTACACTCGGCGTCATGAATGTCCGAACTAAACCGAGAGCTAGTAGGTATTTTCAAGCAGATGCATCCGTTTCTACACACATCCATCACGATTGTTGGTTATTCAAATCGGAAGTGATGTTCCAAAGTAGCCGTGATAGTTTGGCAGTTTGAGATTCGCTTTGTGTAAGTTAATGTTCTTCGACTGCGTTACGCATAATCAGGGGGGAGGGAAAGCGATATGCTCATTCTAAAATTTCTTTTATCGATAAAAGTGTCTCCAAAGGTGACTTATAAAAAATTATAAAAATTATTTCATGACGACGAGAGCACGCACAACAGCGTCGAGCGTCAGATGACATCGAAATCCGAACTCTCATCCTCGCCGATATTCGTAAAGCCCGTGTCACACTACGGATTGGAGATGGTGGATTGCGGATTGAAGATCGAAACTTGACCAATTGGAAGCAATTGAAAGCAGGCCAAGACGGAAGTTTGTTGATTCGTTGAAATCTAATCTTCAATCCGCAGTGTGACACGGGCGTTTACGCCGCGTCAGTCCTGATAATTATCTAATAGCAATACCACGCGAGGATTTTTATCGGCAGTTTCCTGTTTGTTCTTCGTGCCGAAATTCTCCCTCGAGTACTCAACTCCGAGTTTCTATAGCGAATTATCGATACAAGCGTGGGCAGCTCTGCTTGACAAACGCAACCGTCGTGACTGGCGGTATGTTGTATTTACGCGCGATAATTTCATCCGCGCGTTCCACGTATGCCGAAGGCGCGGTGTTTGACTTGCTAAACTGGAGTACGCTCTTCTCTGTGACATACAATTTCCCTCGTAACGACCGCGAGGTAACTCGGCCGCGCGCTGCCACTCGAGGTCGCGAGTCGCAAATCACGAAACGTACATGCACACGAGAAGAAACAACTCCGTTAGTGAGACGGAATTCTCTGTTATCTGGGAATCAGATGAGAAACTCGGTTGGAAACAGATTCTTGTAGGAGGTTTCTACTAAGCTCTCTCTCTCTCTCTCTCTCTCTCTCTCTCTCTCTCTCTCTCTCTCTC